AACTCTATCCTAACCGGTGTGGTGCGGGTTGTCTGACTCCACATTCCTGTGCGTGCGCAAGGGGAAAGGCCGGCAAGAGTTGTCGCAATGAGACAAGCCCAGTCACATCACAGGCATGCCATGGTGGCACATGTGTTTATCCTTGTGCCTCATGGGGGATGTCTTTTGAGGCGCCTCAAAAGGCAAGAGTTGCCGCACCGAGACAAGCCCAGTCACAGCCATGCCATGGTGGCACATGTGGTTATTCCCGTGCAAACAGAAGTGTTTTGAGACGTCTCAAAACGCCATGGTGGCACATGTGGCTATCCTTGTGCCTCGTGGGGGATGTGGCGGGTGAAAATGGTGGAAAATTCGACCGGTGATTGACGGGTGCGGGATAGCTCACAGGTAGTGAAGGTTGGGAGAGGTGAGTAACCCAATCGGGAACTCGAGAGCAGGAAGATAGTTTAAGCCCCCTGCAAGGAAGGAGGCAACAGCAGGGGGAAAAACGATTTCTTTTTAGCCGAATTTACCGTAAAACACAGTATCGAATTAAATTGCTGTCTAAGAACGGATTGATACCGTTTCAGGTGTTAAACATTGCTAGCTTGCAGGATCAACAGTGTTTGCAGGGCGTACAGCGTTCACAGGGCATACAGTGTTTTTTGGGGCGTACAGTGTTCTTTGGGGCATACTGTGTTTTTTGGGGCATACAGTGTTTTTTGGGGCGTACAGTGTTCTTTGGGGCATACAGCGATTTTTGGGGCGTACAGTGTTTTTTGGGGCGTACAGTGTTTTTTGGGGCATACAGCGTTTTGGGGGCGTACAGTGTTTTTTGGGGGCATACAGCGTTTTTGGGGGCATACAGCGTTTTTGGGGGCATACAGCATTTTTGGGGGCATACAGTGTTTTTGGGGGCGTACAGTGTTCGCAGGTTGGTGAGGGAGGGAGCCAAGCCAGTCCGTCCAGAGTGCCGGTGAGCCTGCTACCATCCAATCCAATCGCACTGACAAGATGCAGTCACACGTGGCATGCATGCCGCAGATCGAGTGCGGTGCATATGTAACATAAAGTGGGAAATGGGAACACATGCCACACAGTTACAGGGTCAGAACCCATTCTTTGGAATAAGCGATGAGAGCAGGAGTACCTGTAAGGGGCACGTTATAAATGGCATGCGATAAGGGACAGGAAATGACGAGTTGAGGTCGTGGAACGGAAGGACTAAGAGCCTCCGGTCTTGAGATGTGGCTGGGAACACTGATCGAGATGGCAAGAGCAGTATCAGGGAGTGCGGAGGAGTGAAAAAGGGCAGTGGATGGGCGTATTGCATGATCCCTAGCCCAACAGTAAGCCATCCTGGTTCGGCGCAAAGGAGGAGGAGCAGCACGCACAGATGGGAGGGAACAAGATCAGGGGGTGCAAGGGTGAAGGAGAAGGGTGGATGGGCCTAGCCTAACAGCAAGCCTCCCTGGTTCAGAGGCATGATGGAAGAGCAGCACGCACAGGTGGGTGGGAGAGGTCGGTGAGACTGCCGAGAAATGGATGACTTTTGAGGTGATTATAGAGTCGACTCAAGAGCCATGGCTAAGAAGTACGAACAGGTGGGTGAGGTCAGTGAGAGGTGCGAGAGATGGAATGGGGCCCTCCAGACTAGTGAAGGTCAGATCACTGTGGGATGGGAAGGCGCAGGAACAACAGTGAAAGTTGAGTATGGAAAAGAGAAACCGAAGGTTGGAGCGGAGTCTTGATATCTATGGCGTTATAAGCGCGGCATGCAATGGCGCGGTGACAAAAGGGTGTGACGTGCGTGCGGTGGTTAGGGAGCTGACTTTTGAGTCGACTCAAAAGGGTGTGACGTGCGTGCGGTGGTTAGGGACGAGATGGAAGGACGTAGCATCACGAGGTTGGGGCGAGGGCTTGGCAAACGAAGGAAAGGGCAAATGAAGAAAGGGCACGACGAATGTAGGAGGGGGAGGGTGGATGGGTGGGAGATTAGTGATGGGGGCAGGCAGGCATGGAGCCAGTGGGGGGAGGATTCATTTCGAATTGTGCGGGGAGAGGGTGGGGGGGGTGGTGACGGACAGGTAGTGCAGAGCAGCGAGAGCAGTGATGGAAGTGTTAGTGTTAGCCTTCAATCTCACACTTTGTACTTTGTATTTTCTATATCCTAGAGTAGTGTAGTTTGCACATTGTGTTTGGTTGGGTGTACACCTACATCCCAACCAAACCCAAATGTAATCTCCAAGCAATCTCCAACCCACCAATTGGAGATTGCCTTGGGATTACCCCCAATCCCTAGGGATTGCCCCCGATTCCCTTCCCCATCCATTCCCTCCCCTTCTTGGATGTACTTAAAGAGCTTCAAGCTCATTACTAATGCATCGCTTCTAAGCCTAAGTTCTCACATGGTATCAGAGCCCGTCAACCGCACACGCGGATCGTGATCCTCTTATCTCTGCGGATGTTCATCCCGCAAACCTCGGCGGAACCACCTTCAATCTCATCGCCGGTGATTCGCGACATTCGTGGGCAGAAATTCTCCCGCACCACTTTCCCGTCACTTTCGACGACATCTACTAGTTCACTGGTAAGCGCATCGTCGGCGCTATAACCTATCGCTCGTTTTTTCGTCAACGTCAACGCGTCATTTCTTCTTCTCGTCGGGCCGCCGCCCGTCGCCCCGCATCTTCTCGTCGGGCCGCCGCCCGTCGCCCTGCAGCTTCTCGTCGGGCCGCCGCCCGTCGCCCTGCAGCTTCACCTTCGGGCTGCCGCCCGTCACTCCGCATCTGCACTCCTACCCCCATTTCCCCCCACCTTCCCGCAGCTGAACAGGTGCAGCAGCGCAGCCGAGCAGCCGTGTAGCCGCGAAGCCGAGCAGCAGCGTAGCCGCGAAGCTGAGGGTGTTTTGGGGGGGTGTGTGGGATTAGAGTTAGTACTACGGAAATCAGCCGATTCAACCTAATTTCGACGGCCTGAAAAATCTCTCTACAAGGCATTCCGACGCGGCCGACATTGACGATTTCTCCTATTCGGACCCATCGCATTTCGGAATCGCCGCGCTGCGGCGAAGTGACTATCGGTGACTTAAGAGCGGCGCTCCGCGCGAGACATTAAGGGGCCTTCATCATGGCCTACTCCTCGTCCACCATGGCCAACCCCATCACCCCGCTCCGCCTTGAAGCCGATGGCTCTAGCTCCAACTTCAAGGCATGGAGCTACGGGGTTGACAAGCACCTCCTGAGTCGTGACGTGCAGGGATTGGACCTCAAGGACGTTCTCCTCAACCGTGGCAAGGGAAAACAGCCCCCTTCCCCCTTGAGCCGACCGAATCCGCTAGTGATACTGACATGAGGGCGTACGAGGAAGCTGTTGAGAAGTACCGGAAATGGGAGAAGGCAGATGCTGCTATCATCAGCGTCTTCATTGCCTCCACCCCTCCCAAACTAGTCAACACGTTCCACAACTACCCTACCTCCAACGCCATCTGGAAGTACCTCCAGGATCGGTTCATGAACAAAACGGCGGTCGGAGTTGCCATCCTCATCCCCAGCATGTTCCAGGTCCGCCTTGAGGATTGCTCGGGAATGGCTGACTACATCGCCAAGGTGCAGACTATTCATGGCGAACTGAAGGAGCTGGGCATAGTCTTCCCCGAACAAGCCCCTGCAGCCGCCCTTCTTGTTGGTCTCACCTCGGCATATGAAGTAACGAGGAAGATGCTCCTCACGCTCTCAGCGGAAGACCTCACATTTGCTAAGGTCTCATCCGCACTCCTCTCTGCTGAGAAAGATTCCACGGCTCAAGCCAAGGCTTACGCCATCCGCGCTCCCATGCCGCAAGCAAGTGTCGCATCGGCCCTCGCCTCGGCGCCCTTCCGACCGGCGCAACCGGTTCCCTCCGTGCACCTATGTCGTCAAGTATGGCAACCGCAAGGGACAAGTGTGTGGTGGCACTAACCACCCCTTGCTACGTGCTTCAAGAAGAAAGACGACGAATGGTATGCCATTCACGGAGTGGACAAGAAGCCGCCAAACTGGATGCGCCCTCGTAAGGCCAACCTAGTTGAGGTCCCGGACCCCGCTTCGGCTAGTGCTAGTGATAGTGCTCCTACTGATGTGCGTATCAACCTGTTGTTTCCTGGCACTGCCATGATTAATGAAGCTTCCTCCCAGTACCTCGGCTCATCACAAGCACCACAATACATAGAGTTCATACTCGACAGTGGCGCCACACACACTGTACTCAAGGAGACACTCTCCTTCAAACCCTACGCAACACCCATCCCTCTCCTAGGAGCTGACTCAAGCTTCACCACTCATGCCAAGGGTTCATCCACAGTCCCGTGCCCCGCCTTCCCTTCCGGCACTGTCACTGGAATGTGCGTGCCTTCACTCCGCTACAATCTCGTGGCCCAAACGGAAGTTCAAGAAGCTGGGCTACGCACCATCTTCTAGGAGAACGAGAACTATGGTGATATCCTCGACCCACTCACCAACAAGGTCTTGACTCGTTTCACCCTCAACAGCAGCGGCCTTTACACGCTGCAAGTACCCATCCCACAGGTGTCAACCACCCAAACAGCGGCGACTACCTCACCATGCTCGTGCAGCAGTTTCTCCAACCCGACCATACTCTACCACCATCGGCTCGGGCACCCAAACTTCCGCACACTTGCTGACATGGCCTCCAAGAAACTTCTACTCGGCCTGCCAGCCTCACTTCCTCCACCACCAGACTCCCCCGCTCCCACGTGCCTTGACTGCACCAAGAGCAAACTGCGTCAACAGCCCCACCCGGCCTCACCCTCTGTCGCAGCAGGACCACTGGACCTGGTACACCTGGACGTCTGGGGCCCTGCCCCTGTTCCCGCACGAGGTGGTTATCGCTACTTCCTTGTTATCGTCGATGACCACTCTCGCTACGTCTCTGTTCACCTCCTCCGCACTAAGGCTGCGGTTCCTTGTTATCGGCAGCATCTGGACTTGACTGCCAGTGACGATCTGCGCTGCACCAACCTCATGTGCCCCAAGGTGAGGCGCGGCGGGGCGAGGTGGGATGAGGTGGGGCGAGGTGGGACGAGGTGGGTGGGGCGGATGGGTCAGTTGGAGCTAAGGGCTAAGGGCTTGCATGTTCTGAAAAGGGTGTGTGTGCGTGCTGCGAAATGTTGGTTGCATTGCATGTCTGTCTGCTCTCATTATCACATGTCACATGGGTGTGTGTTCAATTATCTTGTTACGTGCGCACACCTCCCTCCGCATCCCTGTATTGTCAATCTCTCCAGCCCCCCCCACCTCAGTGAGCCCTGCATCTGTTAAATTATCTCTCCTGCACCTTGGACTGCCTGCCCTGCTCCCTCCCCTCCCTGTATTCTCCCTGTATTTTTCCTTTCACCTTCTGCATTCCCCTCCCTTCCTCCTTTCACCTCCAGGTCACCGAACCTTGCATCCGTCACCTGGCTCGTGCCCTTTCACGCTTACCATGTTCCACCCCTCTCCCAGAGCCTTGCATCTGTCGCCTTGGCGTTGCCCTCTCACGCTTACCACGCCTCACCCCCCTCACTCTCGTGTGTGGCGGATATGCCATGTGGCAACATGGCAAGAAGAGAGGACCTGCAGGCTCAAAAACCTCCCCCTCTAATAACATCCCCCCTTTCTCCCTCTCTTTCCTTTCCCCCTTTCCCCTCCTTTCCTCCTCTCCCCTCCAGGTCACAGAGCCCTGCGTCTGTCGCCTTGGCGTTGCCCTCTCACGTTTGCCTCGCCTCACCTCCCTCACACTCGCTCACAACGGGTAAGAAATGGCGGTTCCTTTCGGGGAGAAATTGCAGGGCCTCTCGGGGGGAAATGGCGCCCCACATTTCTTACCCGTTGTGAGCGAGTGTGAGCGATAGCCAATATCATTGCTCAGGCTATCGGAGCTACGAATTCCTTTAGCTAAGGTTGCCTACTCTACTAAGCAACCTTATCTGGACAATCTTGGACCATATGGTGACAGCAAAGGGTGACCTTATCTGGACAATCTGGACAACCATATTCCAGATGCCATTTCACACCTGCTGCACCATATGCCCTGCCCTGCCCTGCCCTGCGCCATATGCACCAGATGCCACCCTCCCTTGTTCTTATGCCCACCTTTCCCCTTCTTTGCATTCCACTCGGTGTTTCCTCCCGGTACCTGGGTTAATTCCTCTGCCGTCACAGCAGTCACCCTGTCCTGTCACGTCACCCTCTCCCGCCATTCCTCATATCCCTCGCCTTTCCTTCGCCCCACTCTGCTCCCCCTTCTCCCCCTTCCCTCCCATCGCAGACTAGAGGCTCTCCCCGAATCTCTCTCCTCCCTCACCGCCCTCCGCCATCTCGACCTCTCCCACAACCGCCTCTCCTCTCCGCCCTTCCACCTCACGTCCGCCCTTCCACATCTCCAGTGAGTTTCATTTCACGCTTGGAGTGAGTTTCACACCTCAAGTGAGTTTCACACCTCAAGTGAGTTTCACGCCTAGAGTGAGTTTCACACCTCAAGTGAGTTTCACGCCTAGAGTGAGTTTCACACCTAAATTGAGTTTCACGCCTTGAGTGAGTTTCACACCTAAATTGAGTTTCACGCCTAGAGTGAGTTTCACACCTAAATTGAGTTTCACGCCTAGAGTGAGTTTCACACCTCAAGTGAGTTTCACGCCTATAGTGAGTTTCACACCTCAAGTGAGTTTCACGCCTCAAGTGAGTTTCACGCCTAGAGTGAGTTTCACACCTAAATTGAGTTTCACGCCTAGAGTGAGTTTCACGCCTAGAGTGAGTTTCACGCCTAAATTGAGTTTCACGCCTACAGTGAGCTTCACGCCTAGAGTGAGTTTCACGCCTAGAGTGAGTTTCACGCCTAGAGTGAGTTTCACGCCTAGAGTGAGTTTCACACCTAGAGTGAGTTTCACGCCTAGAGTGAGTTTCACACCTCAAGTGAGTTTCACGCTATGTGGCAAAAGACGCGTCCTGCGTCTAGGACGCTTGCGTCCAGACGCAGCGTCTTAGACGCAGACGCTAGATGAGGGCCTTAAGGACGCATGGAAAGACGCATGCCCGGGCAGGGCAAAAAAAAACCCCCGGGCAGCTGTAAAAAAAAGTTATAGGTCTTGGGAAGGGGAAGGGGGGGGGGACCTTTGCACACATTCTATGCAGAATTTTCCCCAACAATAAAACCTTAAGGGTTTACTAAGGAGAATTGGGGTTGTGAATGGAGGGAGCACAAATGAGATGTGTGCAACCCTAAATGGGTGTTGGTTGGAGGCCACAAAGGTTGGATGTTCTAGATGTAGAGTGGTTGGGGGGGTTGGGTTGGGGGCTTTACAAATTTGTGTAGAGGGGTTTGAAGTAGTTGGGGGGGGGCTGTTTTCAATGTCGAGTTGCTTTTGGGGGGTCGCTTTTTCGCGAAATTGACATTCGCGTCAAATTCGCGAATGTCAATTTCGCGTTTCGGTAATTTTTTTATCCAGGGGCAGACCGGAAAAAAAAAACAGGGTGCGTCCTGCGTCTGGACGCGCGTCCTGCGTCTCTGCGTCCAGACTCAGGACGCAGCAGGACGCGTGCGTCTTTTGCCACTTAGGTTTCACGCCTAGAGTGAGTTTCACAACTTAAGTGAGTTTCACACCTCAAGTGAGTTTCACGCCTAGAGTGAGTTTCACACCTAAATTGAGTTTCACGCCTAGAGTTAGTTTCACACCTAAATTGAGTTTCACGCCTAGAGTGAGTTTCACACTTAAAGTAAGTTTCACACCATAAGTGAGTGAGTGAGTCCTTGGTAAAGGGCACAAGCAAATACCTGACAATACACACTCATTGCACAACCCCCATAAATTATGCTCATTGCACAACCTGCCTCTCCTCAATCCCAGGGTCTCACGTGCACCTGCTGTTGGCCTCTGCATGCTTCTCCCTGCCTTCCATACGCTTTAAGTTTTGGATGGTCTGTGTCTCTTTCTCCCATTCCACGCACTCCCCCCGTCCCCTGACAGGTCTCTCATCCTCTCCGGAAACCCCTGTGCTCCCTCCTCCACACCACCACATAACCCCCCTCTCCAATGAAGGTCAATGACCCCAGCCTTGGTTGCATCTCCCGTTTCGCTTGAAATCTTCCAGAGCCTCTCTTCCCCGTCTTCCTTGCCAGAACCACTCACCACCGCTTGACTCCCCTCTGCACCACTCCAATGAAAATCAAAGACCCCAGCCATGATTTTATCTTCCTTTTCACTTGAAATCTCTCTCCTCCCCTGCTTTACTTGCCAGAACCTCTCACCACCACACGTCCACTTTCTGCATCACTCTAATGAGAATCGATGACCCTTGGGTTCCCATCCATTCTGCTGCTGGAAGTAAGATACGTAATTTCCTGGGCCTAAAATCTTAGGTGCAGCCTAAAACCGTTTGTGTATTATTGTAAGCTTACTCAAAGCATGACTGGAATTATTCGCAAGGTTTTGCAAAACGAGCTGGTATTCGCAAGGTTTTGGTGACTGTCAGGGCCTCAGATTCGTTTTTGGCTTGGCTGATACGTCAGCCTTAGCAGCCAACGTTAAGCTGATCAATCAGAGTTGGTTGTAAAAAAAAAACTGAAAGTTCAGACAAGTATAAAAAAAAAAACGCTGACTAATCAGCCTCACTTAATACACTCTGGCTGATCCATGTTGAGCACTTTTTTCATTAAATTTAGCAGGCATAACAGGGAAACACTACACCACATACATGACATTAGCTAGCTGCTCATTTCATCTTCATCACTAGAACAACCTCCTGCATCTCCTACTGGCTCCTCCTCATCATCTACATCTACTGGCTCCTCCTCATCATCTACATCTACTGGCTCCTCCTCGTGCTTGCCCTTCTTGTTCTCGCCTGGGATTGGGGTGCGAATGGGAGCATTGCTGAAAGGCTTGCGCTTTCTGTAACTCCGCCAGATCTCAACTACCTCATCGTAGTTGGGCTTGTACTGCATGAGGGACAGACACATGAGGTCCCCCAGCCTCGCGTCCTTGATCCCCCCTCTCCGCCATGTCTTGATCACGTTTTGCCGAGTGAATCCCCTTTCGCACTCCACAGTGCTGAGGGGAATCACAGCCACCGCCACCCAGAGCTGCACCAGATTGGGGTAGCTCTCCCGCCAGTCTGGCGTCTTGAGGATCGCCGATAGTCCGCTGTGGAAGCCCCTCTCTTCCTTGGGGGCACGTGCAAGGACTGAACAGAAGAGGCGAAGCTCCTTGCCTGCCTGCCTCTTGTTGATGCCTGGTGGGAGGGAGGGAGGGTTAAGATGAGGCACATGACATGAGCAAACAGGTGCACCACAAAGGATTTTCAAGCATGGATACGATATCAAAGGTTCACAAAGGCGCCACAACAGACCTGGCAAGATGTCCTCACGGTCCTGAGCCTTGAACATCGTCACCAGCGACTGAAGCCACTCCAGGCAACGAGCGTTCCGCTCAGACTTGCTTTGTGGCCATGCATCTGGTGTGAACAGGCGGACTCCAGAGAGGGAGTCGAGATCACCGAGCCTTCCCTCCAGGTTCGCCACGATCCTCTCTGCGAACTCGGTGCACAACTGGATGCACCCGTAGTGGTCCTCCGGGCCGCTGTACGAGTCCACGGGCTCGTCGTGAAGGGTGAACGTGATAGAAGATGGTCGGCCGTCACTGTCGACACCTTCCACCTTCACTTCGCGGCTACACCCCGGGCCATGGCGCAGCAGGAAAGGTGACAGCCACTGGCTCATGCCGCCGCCGAAGTCATCGCCGCAGTCCACGTAGCGGCTCTCGATGTGACGCGTTGTCCGCTTGATCTGCGCATGCAAAGACACCAGATCGAGCTGGACAGACAGAGGCACACAGTGACACAGTTAAAAGGGTTAATGTGGGGACATGCGTAGCTATATTCGCACCACCTCACCTGTTTCTGCTGGAAGGTCTTGTTCAAAATGTTGAGCTGCTCAAGCACATCAGCCAGGAAGTAAAGGAAGAAGTGAAAACGGTAGGAGCTTGCCAGTTTGTACATCTTGCTGTTAAGCTCCTTCAGCAGCACAATCACTGCCGGCAAAACAGCGACAAGGCGACGAACGGCATCCCCCCTTGACAACCACCGAACGGAATGGATGCCTTGCACTTCAAGGCTCGTTTCGGTGATGACTTCCTGCAGGTCCATGAACCGTGTGCGTGGCGCGGTCCCGACCGACCAAGCAAATCCGCCACTGCCCGGATGAGATCGTCGACCATGTCGAAGACGGGGAGCTCCTCTGCTGCATCCTTCGCTGCAAGTGCCTCCCTGCAAGTACAACATCAAACTCAAGACGTTAAACACGAGCTCGAACCACATGGCGTAACGGGCTGGAAACGTAGCAGCAGAGCTCACTTACCTGTGAGCGATGCAGTGAACGGAGACAAGGTGCGGAATCTTCTGTCGCAGGCGGACAACCAGGCCGGCCTTAGACCCCATCATCACTCTTGCGCCGTCGGTGCTAATGCCAGAAATTCTCTGTAGATCGACACCGACGGATTGCAAGTGGGAAAGCAGGATGCTCAGAAGTGAAGAAGCGTCCGCCTTTTCCACCGTGATCAGCTGCATGAACTCGGTCACGAGCACGTTGTCGCGGATGAACGAGGCATACAAGATCATGTGCTTCCCCCGGAGTCGATCCGTGCTTTCATCGATGCAGATGCCGATGAAAGGGCTTGTCAGGATGTGCTCCAGCTGAGTTGTCTGTAGCCAGGTAGCAAGGGCCTGCGTGAGCTCACCGAAGCCGTACCTACACGCAGGGAAACCAAAGACAAGAGATTAGAAGAGGGTTTAGGGTTGAACATCAAAACATCAACGCAATACAAATGTGGCTACTACTCACGTTGTGTAGTAGGTGCCATATCCCTTCTTAGGGTAGCCCTGGACACCCTTACGCGCGAGGTACTGCACCAGCTTCACCCATGTTCCCATTGGCGCATCGCAGGAACTGACGAACAGCATGGAGTCGAGCAACGCCACGGCGCGGTTCTTCTCAGCATCGATGGCGGCTCGATGTTGGTCGATCCGTGGCTGCTTTGAGGCCGCGTTCAGCAGAGCCTCTTGCTTCTCCATCGCCAGCCTGTGTTTCGTCGTGCCGGCGTGCTTACGAAACGCCTGCGTCTGCACGTCGGTCGCCCCTCGCCCTGTCCGGCCACATCGCCCCCTGACTCCGGCATGCTTGTGCAGACACTGCACTTAAAAGCAGGGAAACCAGATTTAGATTTGGTTAGCACAAGCCACGGGAACCTCTCAGACCACTTGGTTTTGTACTTCAAAGAGCGTCTGCATAGACTGCCTCGATGGCCTCTGAAATGTCTATGACCAAGGATGGAAGAGGGGCTGTGTTGTTCGCGACAGGTTGCTCGACGGCGGTGCTCGAAGAAGGTTTTGCCCAGCT